CATAAAAATAAGAATTAAGCACACAAATATATTTTATTTCACAACAAGCGTCCTGACTTATGAAACGGCACTTCTTATGTGATTCTTTATCCAGACGTGTGGTAAAAGTGGCTATTTGTGTCACCCTTGGCTTGCCACAGTAACTGCGTAAGGCGCGAAACCATTCTAGAGTAGCCTTAACGTTCAACGTTATGGAAACCATGGCAACCACAGCTGGAGACAATAGTGCCGCCTCTGCCCTTCCGACCAATCAAAATCTAGAGGAGGCGGGACTTGTGAATTGCGGAAGGGAGCTTTTGGACAAGACAAATAAGAATACTGGAAAATATTGTACTTTGTTGGAGATTATTTTTATCCTTTTATGGGACTTTTTAAATTGCCTAAAGCATGACGTTTTTGATTGATTTCTAATTCTAGATACTGGACGGATTCTAAGGTAAGGAAACTTGGAGAAGAAACTTGTTTTTGCCACTAAAGCTAACATCAAATGTATTTTTTATCGTATTGTGTGTATTGGCCTATTCTGTGAACACAGTTCAATATTCAAGCACCTAATGAGATGAGAAACTAAAATTTGTTTTTATAATCATCCATTCCCTGGTGGAAAAAACAGTAAATGTGAATTATTTTCTTTTTAGACGTGTGATTGATCCCGATTAGTCTTCCTTGGTCAGTCCTTGAGGACACAAGCGTGGACCCGCACGCACAGATTGCGTGACGTCACGAGACCTCCTACAGCTGATCCGTGTTCTGGTTTTAACAGCAGCATGGAGCACATGTCCTCTCCGGTCAGATTCCGCAGCAATAAAAAAGGTACATTTTAACTTTGAACATCTACAAACACACATTTAAAAATGCTTTATTATAAACAACGAGTTTCAGCAAACTGAGATGCAATTTAACTGTTACCATGTATTTAGTTTCTCTCTTTACTGCCTTTTTTTTATAGTAGACTAGTTTAATCCGTATTTATTTAGTATTTTGTGTTTCTATATTAAAATCTATAGCACTAATATGTTTGAATTTCTTATGAATATTTTTGAAAACTATTTTTGTCATTTTTGTTGTCCCTTCAAAATGAACCTGCAACTTTTACAGAAAAGCAAGTAAGAACATTTCTGAAATACTTTTTAAATGTAGTGGTTGTTATAGTTTGTGTGAGTGTGTTTTAGTGTTAAGTCTCCAACCCCCCACATTGTTAGAGCATTAGAAGCTGAGTTAAGCCTGCTGCAAAGCTTTCTGGGTAATGAGAGCTGACAGGTAGTCTGAGGGTGCTGCTCTGTTGTCCTCAAACCAGGTTAATTGCATGTTTTGTTTATTTACTGGGAAGCTGGTGGGTGTTTGAGTATTCTTGTTGCTTGTAGGAACAAACTGTGTTCAGTTTGAGAAGTTGTAAAGTTTATGTCCTCTCAGTGTGAGGCATTGGAATAGCATGGACTATTCAACGTCATGTAACTCTCATGACCTTTACGTAGAAAATCCATGAAAATACAGACACGCTCAAAATAATAGAAGCAAAACACAACTAGCTTGGAGAGTACAGATTAAACCTGGTGCTCAGCTTGTGGATCTTTTGTCAGTCTTTTAATCCTCCCTGGACAGATGGATGACTTCCTTTGTAATAATAGGATCACAGGTCAGATCTAATCAGTGAAGAAACGAACGCTGCAAGTGTAGTAACCAGCACTGATTGTCTTAGGAGACACTTAATCTCTTTGTTTTCATTCCTACAGTGCTACCACAAGGGCATTTGCTTACAAAGACAAATTATGCATTTTCAAAATCCTATTAGTGAACATGTTTTGTTTTTTTTGCCTATAATAAAACCATAAAAAATGTAAATCATAAACTTTAAATAATAATCCATTTTATTGAACTACAAGTTATAAAGTTTCTACAGTATGTACTTGCTAACTTTTAAGTAGATATGGAAAGATGTCTTATCTATGTCTTCTAGTCAGACTGGGAGAAGTCCAGCCACCACTGAACTACATAACAGGACATGGATCTTGTTTAGTCTGATTTATTCATGGTCCGAGAGAAGTGCATACAAAACAAAACAAAAAAATGTTTCTTCACCATTAATCACTTTTCAGGGCTTTGGATTAAACGTGTGAAGCTCAGTGAATAAATGAAGATTATTTTCTCATTATTTCAGTGAGATTCACTTGTACTGTGGAGAATAGTGATTATTCCTAACACATATCTCCAGTGTTTGTATATTCATGCAGATTGGTAAAAGGGTCTTCAACCTTTCGGTTCTGGGGACACATGCGGCAGCTTTGTCCTAAAATAACATGAAAATGTATAAATGATGACCTTAGACATGACAAGAAAGGCTGACTTTAGTTTAGGAAGGGCGTCTGATATAAAACAATCACCAAATTGTTCATGTGAGTTTGCTCGCTGTGGTAACCCCCACTGAAGCCATGAGAAAAACAAATAAATATCTGGGACAGAATAATTCAAGAAGAAAAACAGACGGATCAGTTTGTTCCGCGCGTAACTGTTTATTAGTCCAGTTTTTACCCACGCAGAGGGATCGTTCTCTGAAATCCACCACAAAAAAATAAACGAGACAAAACAAAGCTTAACAGATCTGATGGAAGTTGGTGAAGGAAAAACATAAAGTGCAGTTTTCAAAATTTATATTTGATTAAAAAAAGCTTAAATCAAGATTTCTGCCTTTATTGAAGGAAATCTACGTCAAGCTTCTAAGTAAAACGGATGCATTAAGATGAAATATATGCTTTATTTTAAAGTACGGATGCACGATATTATTGGCACGGTATCGGTATCGGCCGATATTAGTGATAAAGTTAAATATCGGACATCGGCCGTTCCATCAAAATAACTCACCGATATAAAAGGCTTCTGTTTTAAGTCAATTTTTAATTTAAGAAATAGTCATGTCAAGTATCTATTAATGCACTACTACTTATGTGCTTTTCACTTGTCGCTTGTGAACAAGTTGAGTTTAAATTTGTGAAAATTTACAAATTTGCACTGTTCGAATGTTGTCATTGTTTTAGAGAGATTAAATGTCATGAATAAATTTGACATTAAACATAATTCAAGTTGAAGTGTTGCATCATTTTCAGCCCCCGTTTTGGCATCTGCATTTGGTAGCAGGCCAATGTGACAAAGACCATGCAGAATAATGTAATATTTTAATTCCACAGCAGAGAAAGTTATGCAGTCTCTGTAAATAGGTCTAGAAATAAATATTGGTATTGGTATCAGTTATTGGCCAAATAAGTTTTAACATATCGGCATATCAGATATGGGCCAAAAATCCAATATTGTGCATCCCTATTTTAAAGTGGATTGTTCATATTGTTAATTTTCCAAATATAGAAATGACTCTTGATAAACATTCTTTGTTCTAGAGTGTAAAAATTCCTATAAATGATGATAATTATTTTGTGGTATCAAGCTATACGACCAGTAAAGTTTTTAGTCTGTTTAGTTAAATAACGATGAGTTGTGTTTTTCTTTAAAGCTTTAAGTAGTTGGGTTTTTTTTTTTTGTTTTTTTGTGTGTGGCTCTGGACAGATTTTATTTAGTAGGAAAAAAAGGCAAAATGTCTTATTTGATAGTAAAATTTAGACTCCAAAAAGTCCCTCCTCAGATTTGAGTTTTACAAGTGAGCTGAATTTTAGTTTGATTATAATCCATTAAATAGTGTTAATTTTAATTTTTTTTTTAATTTTTGTTCTAGTTGTCCAGTTTGTCCATTGAGGACCAAGAAGACGCACAGTTTCCATTCGCTATGAGGGATCTGCCCCCCACCACTCACCTTGCTGAACGGTTTCAAAGGCCAAGTTACCACGAGGCAGAGGAAACACTGACAGCACCCAACGGGAGGCTGCAGAGCTTTTCTGGGACTTCATCTCTGCCCCGTTCCATCCACTTCCCTCCCGTTGGCTCTCCAACAATCCCTCCCAGACCACACCGGGCAGGACTGGACCCACAATTTCTGCCCATAAAGAAACCACTCGTCTCTCAGGTGTCTCTGGACTCTCCGCTCAGCCCGACCTCGCGACCACAAAGCCCCTGGGGACGTTTTGACCCATATGACTCTCCAGAGGTGTGTGATGTCTGCTTCAAAGATCTTTTTTAACATTTTGAAGTTTAAACTAAAGCAATATATTTGTTTCTAATACAGTACTAAAGCCAAACTTGTTGTGTTTTTGCAATAACTTAAGTTCAAAAAAAGGTCAAACCAACCTCCACATTTAAAATATCACGTCAGTGCGTTAACAAAGGTTAAAAGCATTACTCAGTAAAACTTTGCTCAAGGGCCAGTGAGTGTGTAATTTCCCGTCTTTTTCTCCTCCCCGTCTGTCGCCTCAGGTCTGCTTCAGAGGTAGCGTGTGCTCAGGACTCCTTATCTGAGCAACAGATGATAAAGTTATGTAAAGGATGCAGATAGTGATGAAGGCGGCCTGGTTTTTAATCAATCGGGCCAAAATAATCAAGGCGGTCAGTGTGACCTTTTTTTTTTTTCTTTAAGAAGAGTGACATGGTCAAAGATATTCATTCAATCATTATTTATACAGGTTAGTCTCATTGAGTCACGAGGACTCATTTACAAGAGACCTGTTAAAAAAAAAAACACACAGATGAGGTACACACAACAATAAACAGTCATAAAAAGCATACAGTAAAATGAAAAGTAAATAAAAGTAGTGATATAAAAGAAAAGAAAAACAAGCTACATTACAAAACGGGGTAAAATACTAAAAACAAGAACATTGATTTTTGCACTGAACATAGCAATTGTTTAAAATCCCTTAGAGAGGTCAAGGTCGACAGCTTCGGATCTTTTTACAAGATATTCCAGGAAACAGGAGCGGAGTAAGAGAAGGCTCTTTTGCCAATTTCAGTCCACACTGAGGGAACACTGCAGGTAATGATGTCTTGAGAGCGCACGCTGTAGCTGCACTGATGACGTGACATGTAGGAGGAGATGTATGAAGGCAACAGACCAAGGAGTGATTTAAAGATGAAAATGTACCAGTGTGAAGTTAATGCTGACCAACTGACCAGTGAATACAGGGTGCAGTGGTGGGTACGGTAGTTACAGCCAGTTATGAGTCTTAGCGCACCGTGATGGACAGCGTCCAACATCTGCAGAGTGCTTGTAGGAGCATTCATGTAAATAATGTCACCGTAGTCCATGGAGGGAAGGAAAGTAGCAGTTACAAGGTGTTTTCTAGCATTCAGAGTTAAACAAGTTTGATTTCTGAAAAAGTAACCAAATTTAAATTTCTTAATTTTCTTTATCAAGTTTTCAATATGCGGCTTAAAAGAGAGATGTGCATCGACCAAGATACCCAAGTATTTATAAGAATCGACAAACTCAATAGGAACACCATTCGAAGATAAAATAGAAGGAAGGACTGCTGAGACCGACTTCCTGTTTGAAAACAACATCCCTTTGATTTTGTTAGCATTTAGCACCAGTTTGAGATGGAACAAATCGGATTGGATGATGTCGAATGCAGACTGTTAAACCTGGAAAACCTTAGCAAATGAATTAGCTCGACAAACAACTGTATCGTCTGAATAGAAATGTAAGGATGCATCAGGAATGATTTGACCTACATTATTTATTTAGATTGTAAAAGAGTGGGTCCTAAGACTGAGTCTTGTGGTACGCCATTGTTGACAGTTAAATAACTGGAAGAAGTACCCAAGCAGCCATTGTGCTGTGTTGTTTCCTGAAACCCGATTGATGGGAAAATGTCAAAAGAATCCAAATACTTCTTGACTTGAGTATTTATCAATTTTTTCTAAAACTTTAGCTGGAATACAGAGTTTGGAGATTGGTCGTTAATTCTATGTATTGTATAGCTGCGATCTACAGAAGTCCTGCTGTACATTTCTGCACACTCTTGTCTTCTCTCTCCAGGATCAAGATAAGGAGTATGTGGGTTTTGCTACATTACCCAATCAGGTTCACAGAAAAACAGTCAAGAAAGGTTTCACGTTTACTGTCATGGTGGCAGGTGGGTCTTCTAATGATGTGTACTCATCTGGTTTTGTAACAAAATGTCAATGTTAAGGGCTTTATTGAGCACATACTTTCATTGTAAAGTCTTTTGTAACTGTATTTGTCTAAAATGAGTTTAAATTAAAATGGAAGCAATTTAATATATTAAGTTTTGTTATTTATAGGAGAGTCCGGACTTGGTAAATCCACACTGATCAATAGTTTGTTCCTCACGGACCTCTACAAAGAGAGAAAAGTTCCTAACGCCGAAGGTGAGGCTACTTAGAGCAGATGTTGTTTTCTTGTCCCAGTTTGTCGCTGTTAAGTGAATGTTCTTTGCATGTGGTGTTGCCTTGTGACCTCCGTAGTAACTTTGCACAACCATGTGTCAGAAAGAATATGTCAAACCGTCGGCATAATCCAGCACACCATCGGCATAGAGGAGAAAGGAATCAAACTGAGGCTCACCATCATTGACACGCCGGGGTTTGGAGATGCAGTCAATAACACAAAAAGGTGAGGTCATCAATACAAAAGTGTGCTTTTGAAGGATTTACCAGCCTCAAAAAATCATTAAACGTCACAGCATAGTACCGTACTTTCCACCTTAAAAGTCACACCGCCATTTAAGTCTCATCAGTCCAATTATTTCTAATAAAGTGGAAAAAACATAAACGTGTCGCTTCGCCTTATAAGTAGGCCTGTCACGATAACAAATTTTGCTGGATGATTAATTGTCTCAAAAATTATTGTGATAAACGATAATATTGTTTGAAATTTGACAATAATTAGTAATTGTCACATTTAAGAAGAAATGGTTCATTTTTGAGTGTAGTACCTTTTTTGACCACTGGATGTCAGTATAAGACTGTTGGAACCAAAGAATGGATAGTGAGGGAGCGCGCAGCGTCTCTTTAAGAAAAATGGGAGGGAGGCCTCTTGACGTGACATGGGCTGTCTCTTCTTCCTGTTTTTCGGTTTGCAAAATAGCGGACACTGTGTAGTTTGAGCTCTTTTTTTTTTTTTTTTTTTTTTTTTTTTTCACACAAATCTTTCAATAAAAAAATCAGTAAACAAGTTCTCTGCTTCTTTTTGCAGAGAAAAACAACTTTTTAGACGAAGGCACGGGTTTCAACTGTGAATTTTGGAGCTTCGACATGACGGAGTTTTTTTCCTGAAGTCGGCCTGTTAGCTTAGCTCGTAGCTTAGCTTCTCAGCTTAGCTGCTTTTAACAAACAGAAACAAGATTTTGGATGGTTAAAATGGATTTTAAAGAGAAAATACCTACTTATAAGTCGCATCTATCATGCATCACTGCTGATGCGTCACATTTGTTATGCATCACCGCTGACCACCCGGAAACGCGGGCCAGTGTTGTGCCAAAAATCGATTGGCTGCCCAGTGGCGGACGCGGGAATGAGCACAAGAGGAATTTAACAAGATTTTTTTTTTAAGAAATTAACAAGATTAACACTTAAAAACGTTTTTATTTTTTTGCTTGATGTTATAGCAAAGGTGTGTCTTAGTTGAACTTTTCTTTAATAAATGCACTTTAATAGTCAAAGAGGCAACATTTCGACTGGGCGGAGCAGCAAAATGAAGTTCCAAGAGTTCCGGAGCGAGACAAAGGTTGCTTTGGTGTGGCAAACCAAGTGTCTCATTAATAGCCACTTTTACCTATTAAGGAGACACTTGGCTTGCCATATCACTCAAGCGCCCTCTAGCGGCTGAAACAGGTAGTGTTCAATATTTTCCATGTCAGAATAAATGAAATCATCAGATCTCAGCCAAAAATTGGGTTATAAATATCAGGGGAAAATAAAAAAAACATAAATAAGCCGCTTCGCTGTATCAGTTGCAGGGCATGCTAATTTATGCAAAAAGCTGCGACTTATAGTCCGAAATGTCCGGTAACAACATTTGTATTTTACATTTTATTGGGACGTTTCTTGCTTTAGAAGCATTTCTATCAAGCACGCTGTTTTACTCAAAACGTTTGTGTTTGGATCAGCTGGAATCACATAGAAGATTACATCGAACAGCAGTTTGAGCAGTATTTCAGAGACGAGAGCGGGTTGAACAGAAAGAACATCCAGGACAACAGAGTCCACTGCCTCCTCTACTTCATCTCACCATTTGGCCACGGGTACATTTCACTTCCACACGTGAAGACAACAGCAGTGCCTCGGCTTTAACTTAAATACATACATGCATGTGGTTCCTCTCTTGTCAGTCTTCGACCTCTAGATGTGGAGTGTATGAAGGCCTTGCATGCAAAAGTGAACATAATTCCTCTTCTGGCCAAAGCTGACAGCCTGACGCAGGCAGAGGTCTGCAAAAAGAAGATGAAGGTACAAGAGCATCAGCAGCAACAATCATTAAAGAGGTGGCAGGTTATGAATCAGTCCATCTGTAGTTTGTAGTACTATTTTAAATAATCAAGTAATCATCATAGGCTTAAAATGTGATAGGCTGCTAAGGTTTCAGTGCTTTTAGAAACCAATTTGTGTTAATTTCTGTGTTTATTTTTCTTGTTTGGTCACAGATCAGGGAGGACATCAGGCAGTTTGGGATAAACATCTACCAGTTTCCAGACTGTGATTCAGATGAGGATGAAGAATTCACGACACAAGAACAGATTCTCAAGGTTTAACATTAGTTTTTATTTTATTTAAAATTTTGTGTCATGGTTTAAACGTGCTGTTTCATCAGAATGCTCCCGCCTGCAGGACAGCATACCATTCGCTGTCATCGGGAGTAACGTCCAGGTGGACAGCAAAGGCCGCAAGTTCAGGGGTCGCGCCTACCCTTGGGGTGTGGTAGAAGGTATTATTTGATCCATTTTTCTTCCATACATTTTCGGCATCTTTCTTGTTCCACAATTTTTGTGCTATTTCAACAAATCGTATATAAATCGTTATGCTCGTTCAGGAGAAGGGTGCTGTGACTGTTTGTATTGATGCAACTTTAGCTGTTTGAAATATTTAGCCTTTTCCTGCCACTTTTTTCTCATAGAAATTGAATTGAGCTCATTTTACATCCTTCAAATATTTAGATCTGTTTACAATCTTTTACTGCTGCTTTCACATTTTGTTCTGATTCAGCTTCTTTCAGCTTCCTTGTGCAAATTTTAAAAAAATTTCAGCTACTTTCAGCTAATTTCAGCTGTTTTTCAGCAGTTTTGTACTCCTTTTAGATTCTTTCTGCTAACTTCCAACATTTTTGTGCTTCTTCTAACTTATTTCTGCTTATTTTAACTTGTTATGCTCCTTTCAGCTTATTTCTGCCAGTTTCAGTTTTTTCTGCTATTTCAGCTGCTATTTAGTTGTTTTATGTTAATTTTAGCTTTTTTTTGGCTAATTCCAAATTTTTTGCACTCATTTCAACTTTTCTCAGCCTAATTCAGCAAGAATTTGCTCTCTCCATTTCTTTCTGGTAATTTAAGATATTCTTTTAGAAAATTTTAGCTACTTTTCTGCTTTTTTGTTGTTGTTGTTGTTGCTAATTTCAGCTTTTTTCAGATAATTTCCACTTTTTTGTGCTCATTTCTGCTTCTTTCAGTCTTTTGGGGCAAATGTGTTCTTTCTGCTTTCGTCTGCTAATTTAAGCTTGTTCTGCCTGTTCAGCTACTTTTTTTGTTGTTGCATTTTTCAGCTAATTTCAGCTGTTTTCAGATAAATTCAAATTATTTTTGGTAATATCTGCTACTTTCAGCCTAATTAACTTCTTTCTGCTAAATCAGCTACTTTCTAGCTGTTTTGTGCTAAATTTAGCTTTTTCAACAAATATCCACATTTTTTAGCTCATTTCAGCTCCTTCCACTTCCTCCTGGTAGTTTAAGCTTCTTTCTGCCTTTTCAACTACTTTTCAGCTATATTTTACTAATGTCCTAATTTAGTGATCATTTCTGCTTAATTACCAGTAAATCTAATTCAGAAAATGTGTTCTTCTGCTTTCTTCTTTTAACTTAGGCTTGTTCTTCAATTTCAGCTACGTTTCAGCATGTTTTTAGCTAATTTCAGCTGTTTTTCAGCAAGTTCTTCAGCAGTAAGCATTCACAGTGCATTTTCACAGGAAATGCAATTTCTGTAGTTGTTTTTTTTTTCTACGATTGCCAAAAGATCATTCTTGTTCAGTTTTTATGATTTTGCACTAAAGTCATCCATCACTGTCGTTTCGTGTTGGACAGTGGAGAACCCAGCCCATTCAGACTTCCTGCTTCTGAGGAACATGCTGGTGAGGACACACATGCAAGATCTGAAGGACGTGACACGGGAAATACACTACGAGAACTACAGGGCCCAGTGCATCCAGAAGATGACGCGCATGATGGTGCAGGAGAGGAAACGCAGGTGGGTGGAGTCAGCCGAGCATTCAGTCTGGCTTTTGCTCTAAAAGAGAAATGCAATGCAACACAAAAAAAAAAATTTAAATTTTTTTCTTAATGTGTTTTTCACATGTGCGTTTGAACTGATGTTTAGTTTGCGGGAGAAGTATCGAGACGGGGGTGAAGTGGACTTTCCTCTGCCTCTGGCAACTGTTGACGCCGAGAAGGAGAGACAGATCTTTGAGAAAGATGAAGAGGTGAGGAACTTTCTCTCCTACATGCTCATATTGTAGCATTGTGCTAACTGTTAATGGAAATGGCAACAAAGGTGACAGTTCCTCAAGTTCCACCCTCCTTCAAAAAAAAAAAATGTTATCCTTTTTCATACACCAGATCAAACATTTGACATGTAGTGTCAGTTTTAGTTAACAATAATATACAACGAGACATAAATGTCTAAAACTGAACAGAACTAATAACAATCCACCTGAACACACATGTAAAGTCTATTTTGTTTCATGAGTACCCAGAAGCCTTTGCTGCTCACCCAGCCTCTCTGGGATGTTCAAATATGTGGTCTGTTTTGTTAAAATGAGCCAATGAGGAATTTTTCAATGTTGAGTTTTTGTTTCTTCTAATTCTACTTCTCAAAAGTTTCCAAATAAATTGTAATGGTGTAATGATGTTATCTGGTATTTCAGCCCTATATTTAAAACAGGGAATACCCAAGCTTCACAATGACTCCAAACATTATACAGAGGGATTTCCCACTGTTGGAGCAGCCAGCAGAGAAATGCTCAATTTTAAAAGAAAACTACAAGGGTTGTAATACAAAAAAAAAAGAAAAAGTTTTTAATTTAAAGGTAGATTAGAAAGATTATAAGCTATTATAGTTGCTGGAGTAGTATCTTTATGGACTAATTTTATGCAAATCTCAATCACAGCTAAAATCTATTTGCACCGCGGCTCATTCGGACTCATTTTGCCACCACGGGTCACAAACATTCACTCGGTTATAGAGCTACAGTAATCAAACTCTTCCTTCTTTTCTTCCTGTCTGTAGCTTCGGAGGATGCAGGAGGTGCTGGAGAGGATTCAGGAGCAAATGCAGCAAAGCCAGAGAGGAAGCTGTTGATCCTCAGAGGACGCTCCAACAATTAAAACAGAAACCAAACTAGATAGATGCTGGCCTGTTTGGACAACCTGAAGTAAGAAAGGCTGGAATCAGAACTTTCCAGAAACATACAATTATCGCAGAGCTTTGACATTAAGAGTGATGACGGGTTTATTCAGTATTTTTCATCCAAACTCTCATCCACTGTTTCCTGCAAGTTCAGAAGGGAGAAAAAAAAAAAAAGCACATTCCAGCTTTAAGCAATTACCGTCTTTATAATCTGTTCGAGTCATGTGCAAGTGGACCAGCTTAAAGTTGAACTGATTCATGGGGTCAGGAATTCATCTCAACACCTACAGAGTTCATCTGCTACTGAGGACTGTCTTTAAATATAAATGTGGCGTTTTGTCTGAGGACTACGCTAGTAGCCAGGATTTAACGCTAGTGGTCAATGTTGTACTGTTGGATTTAAAGGTACTCAAATGCAATGTTATGAAGTCTGATTAAAAAAGTAAAAAGCAAAATATTGTCTACCCCAATTCAATTCAGTTTATTTATATAGTGCCAGCACACAACAAAAGTCTCAGCGCACTGCACAAAAATATGCCAGCAGAGCAAAGCACACTGGAGACAGTGGAAAGGAAAACCTCCCATTTTAACAGGAAGAAATCTCCAGTGGAACCAGGCTCAGGACGAGCAGCCGTCTGCTTCGACCAGCTGTGGTTAGAGAGGACGGGAAAGACACGAACACCAAATGGTTGGTGCAGATGTAGTTTGTATGGGAAGAAATGTAATGTTAAGGATAGAAATACTTACAAACATGAAGAGTAGAGCAAGTAAAGACAGCAAGAGTTGAGATGTGGTCAGTTTGTCTGCAAGCAGCATAACTAAAGGATAACTCAGGAAACCCAAGCTGACTAACTAGGATTTATCAAAAAGGACATATTTAAGACTAATCTTAAAACTGGACAATGTGTCAGCCTCACAGACAGAAACTGGAAGTTCCACAGATGAGGAGCCTGAGAACTGAAAGCTCTGCCTCCCATTCTACTTTTGGAAACTCTAGGAACCACAAGTAAGCCTGCAGTCTGAGAGTGAGGTGCTCTGTTTGGTAAATACGGAATAAGATCTTTATCTATGGTTAATGTGTCCTTAAAATAAAAAAGTTAATAAATCTGAATGGCTGCCAACATGTTTGTTTACCTGCAGGAACATCAGAAGAGACTAAAAGTAGGTCGATAACGGCGACGCCATGGAAAAACTGTTAGGGATTGAGAAGTGCAAGAATTTTGATGTAATGGTATTTAGGCTCAGATTTAACATTTTAAAAAACGGAATTACATTTCGCAGCATGGTGAAACAACTGGAAGAGCTGCTGCCTCTCGGCAAAAAGGTTGCCGGTTCAAATCCCAGTTCGGGGGCCTTTCTGGGTGGAGTTTGCGTGTTCTCTCCGTGCATGCGTGGGTTGCCTCCGGGTACTCCAGTTTCCTCCCACAGACCAAAAACATGCATGTTAGGCTGATTGGTAACTCTAAATTGTCCCTAGGTGTGAGTGAGAGAGTGAATGGTTGCTTGTCTCGTTTGTCTCTGTGTCCCTGTGATGGACTGGAGACCTGTCCAGGGTGTCCCCCGCCCCTCACACAGTGATTTTTGGACATGGGCACTGGTGACCCCCCCATGACCCAAAATGGAAGAAGCGGGTAAAAGATAATGGATGGATGGAATTGCATTAAACCAAACCAGAAGTGTTGTTTTGTTGTTGTTTTTTTTTTACTTTATTAACAACATAAAACAGAACAACGTTCAGGGTCATTCCTATTCGATGCCTTTCGAGTCCCCATGCCACAATGTGGTACATTTTGTTTAAAGATGGGCTAATATTTATTTTATTAACCTCATCTTATATGTTTGACTCACCTCTACCATAAAACATAACCATATGCACACAAGATGGATTTATATAAAATTATTAAATCTAATTTTAAATGCAACTTGCGTTTACTGCCATGTCCCCTTTCATGCTTCCTGAAATTACGTTACAATTCTAAGTAAAAAAAATTAAAGTCATTTTTTTAATAGTACTATTTATAATAGTTCTCATCCAATTACTTATATCAAAATATATTTTGTGCTTAAATCGAGTCCCTGAGTCAACTGTCCACCCCGTTACCTGTCACCCCCGGTTTGGCTTAATTTATTTCCATTTTTACAAATATGCATTTACACCTCAGGGCCACCGTACAGATACAAGTACGCAGAGAAGAGTTCACATGAAGTCACATTACGCTTTTGGAGTAAAGTTTCAAACTGCAGCATTTAACTCCGGCTAACGTTTTTATACTTTGCATCGAGTACCTAAAATTCATTACTGTCGTTTTATAACCTGTATTGTTGCTTTTTGTAAACACAAAAAGGTAATAAAATTAAATCAACTCCATGTATTTCTGCTTGTTACTTAAAAATAACACAAGAGCAAGGATATGTTGTAAATGTAATAAGATTTATTAAGAATCTTTATTAATCCATCAGCATAAGTCTTCATTATTATGTTTTATCCATTTATCATTGATATTATAAACAGTGGACAGTTAGGATCTAAAAGGCAGCCCAAAGTGTACAGGCGATATATAACTTAAAACTTTCTCCATAGGGAAAACATATTTTTATATTCATATATAATATCCATGTAGCATGAGGTCCAAGATTCTGCCCACGTTATACAGTATTGTACATGGTCCCAAAAATAAACATTGAAACTAAACTTTTAAAATGAAACTAAACTGCAACCTACATGCAAAATAAATCAAGAGAGACTAAAAGCGTTTAAGATGCATACACTCATATGCTGGAACATGCGCACAATCACGATTTACAAAACTTTCATACGTACAAATATTACAAAACTCAAATTTAATATTAGACATTATGTTACCAAGAAAAAGCAAACAGCCTTTTTTTGTCTTTTACTGTTTTCCACTCAAAGTCTCCAACGCACAAAAGCAAAAACAATTTTTTTTTTATTGTTTTCTTTTCATTCACTCAAAGTGTTCTGCCAGAGTTGTCACAGTGTTGAGGGAAACTGAGTGTAGGCACACGATAGCATTCATGAATCACCTGTGTAAGAAAATAACCTGCTAGTAGCTACACACACACACACACACACACACACACACACACACACACACACACACGCACGCAGTCATGCACAGGATAAACTGTACAACCGGAACAGTCATGCTACAGGTACAATAGGATTAAGTATAATACAGAATATATAAAACATATAATCACAGATCTGGACAGAAAATATTGAAACAGCAGAGGAGGCGAGGCGCAGATCCACTCTTGACGACGACGAGCGTGCGACCCGTTCAGAAGGCTGAGCGCATCAAACATAAACGACGTGCACGCATTCCCAATTTGGACTTAAAGACAACTTTCTGAAATTCAATTTTCATTCATTTTGGACACTGAATGCAAATTATTTATCAGTAAAGTGCGACTAATGCAAACTGACTTTCAGCCTGATCCAGTTTAGTTGTTTATTTTTACGGTTTGCTTATTTATTTTGGGGGAGCAGGTTTTTCTGCGCCGAATTCAAACTTTTTGAAACCATAACGTGAAAAAAAATAAATTATAACTCAGGGTCCGCTCTTGCACATAAACTCTAAACAGAATTTAAAGAAGTGTGTGTTGTAACCGAAGCGACCAGCATGAGGTCTGATGTGGGTCAGCAGGGGGCGCTGTTGCATTGAATACTAAAAAAACCAGTCAGTCCTTCACTTCCAGCTAAAACACAAAGCCAAAAATGAAGAGGAACCCTGTCAGTGAAAGTTTAGGGAGCAGATTTAGATAAAAGTGGCCTTTCTTTAACGTTTGGGTCTTTGTTTGACGTGGCTACAACAGAACTCAGCGCTCAACGTTACTTTGAGAAAGACACATTTGCTTCAAGAATAAGCGCAGACTAAAAAACGTCAGTCATGTATACATGTAACGATACCACTTTACAATAAGGCTCCTCTTATAGATGGCAAATAGTTTATAGATATGTTATTAATTCCTCTATAAACACTTTATAAATCATTAATAACTGCTTATTATGCATTAATTAAGGACGAGAAAGAGACAAAACTGACCAGTCTGTTGCCAAATCTGTTCACCTATATATTTCAGACTAAAACATTTCACAATAAGCATTTGTAAACCTATTTTTTTTTTTTTAGGATATTAGTTGTAGATACATATAATACAGTGATAGTTTAATATTATATGCAAAGAAATAGGTTTACAAATGTTTATTGTGCTTACAAGGTAGTAACTTAGTCTGAAATGTTTAATATAACAACTCTAGATTAAATATATAGGTGAACAGATCTGGCTCACTATTTGGCAACAGACTAGTCAATTTAGTCTCTGTCACCCTTAATTAATGCACAATAAACAATTATTAATGATTTATAAAGTGTTTATACAGAAATTAATAACGTATCTATAAACTATTTATTAGCCATCTATAAGGGGAGCCTTATTGTAAAGTGGCACCCATGGAAGTTCAGTTATAGCGGCAGACTTTTCAGGTGTTTGAAGTGACGGATAAATGTTTGCCCAATTTATTTGTTTAATTCCAGAGTTGTTGTTTTTTTCTTCCACTGACTGGAAACAAATCTGTTTTATGAAAAGTAATTGCTGCACAAAAAGCTTCATATCTTGTGTTTTATCCCGTTTCAGAGGGAGCACAATTTTTTTTTTCTCCCTGCAAATAGAAGTTCATCAGCAAAATGTAATTCAATTGAAGCCAGAATGTTTAAGGAAATATATCTTGACGCGGTGTAAAATAAAAGTTTACTTTCGCTTTAGTGATCTGATCTGTTTCACATGTGATCACACACACACACGTGTTTAAGTTTGTTAAAATGAGCGGAACCGCTGAACTCCCTGCTAAACGTCAGTGACGGGTCTCCTACACATGGTCTTCCTGCACCCATCGCTACGGTGACGGTGAGACGTATGGACCACACGTGTTTGGCTAAATAACTGAACGAGTGACTGAAGGGAATCCATGACGCCTGAGTGTGAGCTGAGATTATTCTGTTGGTGCTGCTGGGGAAAGAGAGGAAAGGAAGAGAAGGTCGAGCAGAGTTCCCGTCTGTGCAGCGAAGCCAAACATCACGGTCTCATTTTCACCATGTCCTGAACCACAGAGTCTGCATCAGCGTTGCTGTTCATGAATCAGCAGAGCCGTGACTACAATGTCCCGCGAGATATCCGTTGCAAAACGTTTAAAACGAGCCGAAGTCTTTTTCTGTCACAGATTCTCCGCCGTTCGTTACCGAGGACTGACCCAGGAGTTCATCTGTTTACCAAGCTCATCTTTTTGCTTTTAGGCCAGTTTGAGCGTGCTGACGGGGAAGGTGGGGACTGTCACCATGGTGACGGGATTGAGGACAGTAGCCTGTCCAACCAGTTGGGGGTGGGGGGCCAGCACGGCTGTGGGTTTTCCTAGTGACGGGCTCCCATGGCTCACCACGGCCGCGCTGTTCACCTGGGCTCCGGTAGTGTTGGCTTGAGGACCGGCCTGGACGTGAGACAAGGGGTGGTGTGTGAACGTGTGAGTGATGTGGCCCACCATGGTGGGCTGGGACACGGCCCCTCCCTGGGGGTAAAGAGTCGGGAGGTGGGAGGTCAGGTGAGCCACCGGGTGGACAGTGATGTGTCCGATGGGCTGAGCTGCTATTTGTTGGTGGGTGGCGGGGCTGGCTGCCGCTACAATTGGCTGGGGGTGTGAAGAGGCGGGGCCGGGTGAGGGGGCGATGTGTGTTAGGTGTTTGTGATTGGCTGGTAGGGAGTGATTGACAGCCTGGATTACTGATGGGTGTGACACAGCGGCGTGGGCAATGACAGTAGGCTGGACCTGCACAGCTGGACGCTGAATGTGGTGCGGCGGGGGCGGCGCGGGAGGGGGCGGACCCGGCGGAGGAGCAGGGGCGATGGCTTGAGGAGGGAGAGGACAGGAGGGGGGAGGGGCGGTGAGGACTCCAGAAAGAGGCAGTGCAGCATGCTGGATTGATATGTGTGAGGTGAGGAGGGGCTGAGCTTGTATAATGGTGGGTGCTGGTTTGGGGAGGGACGTGGAGACAGGAGGAGCAGGAGCTTCATCGTCTACGTCCTGCTCAAAGTTATCTTCTCCTTCTGTAGGTCAGAGAGAAAACTTTTAGTAACCATGATACAAAACAAGAACATTTATCTCAACTAGTAAGAGTACAACTTTACAATAAGAGTTATTATTCGTTGAGAACAAGGGCTGTACTTTAATTCCTTTACGTCCTGATGAATGCTCAATAATCCAGGTAGAAACATCTAGCAAGGTTATGTCAGGTCATCTGGACGGTTCTTCTCGGATTTTTTTTATTCCACTAGTTCAGGGGTGTCCAAACGTTTTCATATGTGGGCCACAAAATATGAATTTAACTCTCAATGTGAGCAATATTTTGGAGATAGGACAAAATTTGATGTATTTTGGTGGCAAACAAGTTTTAATTGTTGTAAATCCAAAACATTTAAAGCCTCAAATGCTAAAAATGTTTTCTTAAAAAGGATTTGATTTATTTGATTTGTTGTTTTTTTTTCTTGTGTTTGGAAAGTTCATTTTAGTTGTAGTGAACCAGATAACCTCAAATCTACCAGATGGACAGAGACTGTTATTTTCATTGATCTGAATAAGTCTGAACCATCTGATGAACTTTCTTTCTTGAATTAATCAAGCAGAAAAGACAATTCTTTATAATCATTACTGTCTTACAAATGTTTTGATAATCAAATTGTGTTAGTTCACTCAATGCTTTACAGGTTGAAAAGAACTACTAATTTTTATTTTACATAAACAGTAAGTAATGATTTTTGTTCCTCATTCAGAGAAGAAATCACCTGAATATGCCTTTCTTGATTTTCTGTCTGAAATGAGCAAGCTGTCGTAAGTATGTTAAAGGTTGGTTTTCGGTCAACTAAAATGTTTACCGAGAAAAATGTCATGTTTTACTATTTGAAAAGATTACAAAGTGTGAGACTCCACGAAGTCTGCTGTTGCTGAAATAATCTTTTCTGTATGTTGTAAACAATCCTTGACTTATGATAACATCTTACGTCACAAATCCACTCCTCTTTCTGGTCCTTCCACGAATCAGAAAGCTCTAAATTGAACAGGAAGTCGACCCAAATAAAATGTGGCAACTTCTCAGTTCATGAAAAAAGAGAAGATATAGAGAATTATGGATTCCAGAATTCCAAGAGAATGAGAGTTCTGAGAGATGTTGGAATGAGAGCTGACAACAGGTCCGATAGTCCAACAGAATGAGCAGATTGAGAGTGCAGCCGGTTATGAAGAGTTTGGAGTTATGAAGAACCAGGAACGTTTGGGATTATAATTCTGTTTTGAGCTAATCAACGCACGACTTTCTGAAGGTTTGGTAGCTCTCGACGGAGACGCTGAAACGAGTCAGAAAGGAACTACATCCAACGCTGATTCATCGTCAACAGGTAGATGGTTCTATTTTGACCAAGTGTACCGTGAGAAGCTGAGGATCTGACGAAGCGTGCAATTTCTGGTTAAACAGATTAAACTTCCCTCACACAGTTCTCTGTAAGATAATCTCCTTTCACTCTAAAACCCACCTCTCTCTCATAAATCAGTACAGATATTTTAGAAATATCTTAAGCAAAGTCCTCAAATCACCGCCGAGTGATTTGAAGTTCATTTTCTGTGAAACTGTCTGTTATTATTTTCATATTTTGCCAAATTAATGTAAATGTTTGATGTTAAACTTTGATTTTGAAAATAAATGATTCCATTCATTTGATGGGTCAAAGATAAATAACGTCTCTCGTTCACATTTCTGTTAAATTCAATGCACGACATTTACAGTCAGAAAAATGAAGAACTCGTGAAAAGTATGCATAAATATATATCCATATATTTGTCATACAACAAGTGACACGTACCTCACGTGT